TAGGGGCTATTCTCTTTGTGTTTCAGTTTTGTGTTTTGAGTTTTGAATTGGTTTTGAGTTTTGTGTTTTGAGTGTTCATTTTGAGATTGTTGAAAATGTGTTCTTTTTTATATTTTGAAATTTTTTTTAGAAAACACCCAAAACGCGTTTTGAAAATTTTGACTTAATTATAACTCAAAACATCCAAAACGACAAATTTGTCGTTTTGAGTTTTCTTTGTAAATTTTTAACTTGTTTTCAAAAATATTTTTTCGAAAATAGGAAAGAGAACGCGTTTTCACTATGTTGAAAAATTGAAAACAGAAAACGGCTTGAAAACGATAAAAAGAACATGCCCTAAATTTTCGCCATACTTTCTTGAGGAACGTACCTGAAATAATATTTGATGTATTTAAATCAAGGTTCACAATTTTCAAAATAGCTCCTCATTATCATATCGTGCACAAGCTGAACTAATGTTAGCTTGTGTAAGATTATACAATTTTCTTCGCAAAGAGTCGTTCTGATGAGTTTTCAGCTGTATCTAATAATAAAGCTTAATCATCTTCGTTTGTTAACGAAGGGGAAGACTTTGAACCATTTTTTTAAAAATCAAGAACAAGAAAGAGAGAGTGTTGATGCATGAAGAACTACTATAACAGCATATATGTGGAGTGAAGTTGAGAATACTTGGTATTTTTATTGTTGAACATTATTATGATGATATTAATTCTTTTTGATATTTAGGTTATTTGTTAATCTAACTGAGATGACTTAAGTTTTTTTACAAAAATTATTGACAATAGAAATATGATTTATTACTCTTATGTTCTTATTTAAATCTGTTGTAGGCTTTTTGGACGTGCAAAAAGTTGTTCAACATAATACTACATTACATAGGTGTTTAACTTAACATTTAAGTCTTTAATTAAAGTATACAGATGTCTATGTATTTTTTTAATTAATTCTTAACAAAATCACAAAAATACTTAAAAGTTCATTAACTTTCAAAAGTCACCCACTTATAAAAATCTATATAAAAAAAATAAAAATTAAAAGTTCAAATTGAATACACTATTCAACTGAGATAAATTCTTTAAAAAATATATTTTTTGAACTTTTAATTCTAACCAAGGGATTATCATCAATCAATTGTGTAAAAGACTCGAAGTGAAGAGTGTGACCTGTCCAAAAGGCACGAAACCCACAGCCTTTTGTTATCCACACAACGTCTCGTAAGAGAACTTCAATCGCGCAAAAAGAATTTCTGAAAACACTTGCAATCAACAATAATGGCTACAACAACAATGGCTACACCTATGTTTACTCGTAGATTGATTATTTGTACTCCGCATTGCTCTATTCGATCCACAGCAATTCATTTCTCATCACTCACCAAGAAACCAGAAACATCAATTAACCTCAGTTCTTCACATTGTGTTTCTGGGGTTGCCCCACTTGTTGTTAATAGAACTTCCAATTTTGCGTCACCCATTGGAAGAAATTCACAGCCACTCACTGTAGTCTGCGCCAAAGGCTACAAAATGAAGACCCACAAGGCAATTCTTCGTACATTCATTTTTATGTACATGTTTTAATTGAAATTGGGGATGTATTTTTTTATTCTGTTTTGTGGGTTTTTTTATATTCTTTTTGTTATTTTCCATATTGGAATTTTAGGCTTCGGCGAAGCGATTTCGGGTTACCGGTAGTGGGAAGATACTGAGGAGGAGAGCAGGGAAGCAACATTTGCTGGGAAAGAAAAATACTAAGAGGAAATTGAGACTCTCCAAAGTGGTATGAAAATTTTGCCCTTTTCTCTTTAAATATTTTCTTTTTTTTGCAAATTTTCTTAATTTCGCACTAATTTGATTCTTATTTTATTTGTGGAAATTATTTTAAACATTAACTTGTGCAGAAAAAGGATATAATTCTAAGCGAGTTGCAATGATTGAAATGTTTGTCCAACTCAATCTGGTGGTTTCCTTCATGTTCCTCATAAGTTTATTATCAGTCTTACTGTGAAACAAAGTCATATTAGGTACTAGCTAGTCTTATAATTACCATTTTACTGTTTTATTAAAAAATCAGAACTTGAAATGCAGATCTTAAATGCTTTTGAGAGGATATCCTCAGGGATGAATTCAGTTTCTGCTAGTAGCTTACACACTTGAAAACTTGGAATAAAAGGTGTTTCATGATAACTTCTTTGAAAAATATTATGTGGGGAAATAACTAGTTTGACATTATTTATTGTAGAGGATACTATAGGTATAGGGTTTCCTGATGCCTCTTCTTCTCCCCTAGAAGTTAACTCATGAGCTCCTAGAAGATAGAACTCAAATTATTGCATGACTTTAAATACAAAAAATTGATCATAAATGGGGAATTACTGACCTTGGATACTTCTTTTGGTTGTTTATTGGGTTTTGATTTGCTATCGAAGCTCGTCATGAATCTGTTATTTCTAATTAAAAGTCGTGTAAAGTCGGAGCAAGTCTGGTATTAGATGGATGACAGTCTATTTCAGTTTAGCCCAGGATCGAATTGCATTGAACAACTAGCCTTTTTTAGTTGAAGTATCTCTGTTCCTGGAAATCTTGTTGAGAATGAAACGATCTCTTTTTGGATTGGTCAAAAGTTGAGCTGATTCAATTATTTATGTGAAAATCCTCGACTGGTGCTTTCTTGTTCGCTTCAGCTTTTGCCAATAGCACGAGTTTCTACAATTAAGAACTGCTTTGATTTTCTTTAGTATGAATAATATGAGGATTTAATTTAGCTTGACTTATCTTAGGGAAATTATCTGGCTTAGATAATATTCACCTTCGGTCCCTGCTTTGCCTGTTCTTATTACTGGTTACTAGGTTGATATCTAATACACAAATGTTGAGATTTACAGTCACGAGTTTCCTCTTAAATCAGGTCTAAGATTGATTCATTCTAATCGAATATAAATGGCAAGGGATTGGGACTAATAAAAAAAATTCGAATCTTCATTCTTATCTAAAGCACCTGTTTTTTAATTATTTTCTTTTTGTTGGTATCCAAGTAAAATATTGACATTCAGGTAACCTCTGAATCTTGTCGAAGTTCATTTTCAGACTCCAAAGTCTTCATACAACTAATTCTTAAATCAGTTCGCTCACTATTTGGGGTATATAAAATTTAGATTTGAAATTCCTGGATCCAACTCATTGGACTTCAAAGATAAGTTGTGAAACACATTTAGATCCTTGAATGAGGCTCTTCCTTGTGTTATTGGATGTGGATGACATGGGTGCTTTTCAATTTGGTTCTTTTTCTATTTTTTCCTTTTGGGTGGAAAAGGCCGTAACCTTCATTTTCGTCCCAAAGAAGATTAACTACTTAAGGAAGTCTTTTAGCATTACTGTCCTATATTGAGATCTTTACATATATAAGTTTTAGTTGTCTACTTTTGAACTTTAACCATGGTTTCTTATGTCATCTTTATTAATCATGGATAGGTACAAGTTGATCGAAGTGACTATAACAACGTGATTGGCGCTTTGCCTTATCTCAAAGTTAATCGTTCAAACTAAAGCCGATGTTTTCATCATGCACTAAATTGTAGAGCCTGCTGATTCATTACATGGGATTATTCTCACTTCTGCGTGTAAAGGATAAAGCAACCCTTACTTTAGTTATCTCTCTGAATATGTTCATCATTGAATTTCGAGTCATTAATTTTCCAGGTGAATGATTGTTATTACAGCTTACTTCTAGTGTCTTCTACCTTGATTGCTTGAATAATGAAGCTTATTCTTTTACCCTGAAGATTTTCTTTCTTTTCAATCACATTTTATCAACTTTTATTAAAATATATTAAAATATTGTTTTTTTTTTAGCTAAACCAAATAGGGGCATTAACACCATTTCAGTGAATGTTAAATCATTCTGTATGAATCCATAAATCATCACAGAAAGTGTGAATTTATCTATCTAATTGCTATCTTAAACATCAAATAGTACCATAAAGATTTTTTTTTTAAAGTTCAAACGATTATAGACAATGCGTAAGAATCTATTTAATTTGTTGTCTTAAACACTATTTGTGGGTAAGTCGAATATGTTTATTAATGAAGACTTGGCATATATACACAACTAATGGTATCGAGATCATTTTTAAAGATTTTCCTATTAGCTTTAACATCGTGTTAAAATTAATTCACACAACTAAAATTTTAACCATTTTTATACCGTCAAAAGTTTCCAATATAGTGATGCAGGCCCGTCCTGAAATTTCGAGCATCTTGTTCAATAAGAAACATAAAGAAAAAAAATTTAATAAAACACTTATGATAGTATTACGAGCTTGTTTGGAAGAGATTTTTGGGAGAANCACTATTTGTGGGTAAGTCGAATATATTTTTTAATGAAGACTTGGCATATATACAACAACTAATGGTATCGAGATCATTTTTAAAGATTTTCCTATTAGCTCTAACATCATGTTAAAATTAATTCACGCAATTAAAATTTTAACCATTTATATACCGTCAAAAGTTTCCAATATAGTGATGCAGGCCCGTCCTGAAATTTCTCGCATCTTGTTCAATAAGAAACATAAAGAAAAAAATTTAATAAAACACTTGTGATAGTATTACATAACAAAATATAACAATTCAGTGTTTATTTATATTATTTATTTTTGTCATATCATGAAAGAAAAAGTACAAGTAAAACATTACCTTAAGCATATACTTTCCTTTCTACACTCTGTATCTTCTATTTGTTTGGTCTGTCATCTCTAAATCGACTAACTTTTTTAATGCGAATATTTTTCATCAAATAAGATAAAATATAAATTTTTTTACTCTCCCACATGGTGCTCATTATATGTCCATATTCCCCTATAATTATGTTAAATCATCTTATTAACTCAAATTGTAATTGGCTATTCCCGCGTCCAAAATTATAGTTATTGAGTTGTAATTAAAGTCAAAAGAGTCGGAGATTGATAGTATAGGTCTTGAAGGAGTCAAATAAGTCAAAGATGGACCAAGAAGAAAAAGTAGCCACAAAATCGCTCGAGATCTCACAGGAGGCGCTCGAGCGTTATTTTCAGCAAGGTTGCTGGTGTGTGCTGTCACAGGCACACAAAAGTAATACCTTATGTTCTAAAACTAATGTTGTAGTGGAAGTAAGGATCAATCTCACGAAGAGTATGTAATTCATTTTTTTATGCTTCGTATAATGATTGAAGGGTTTTTGTATGCAAGTAATTGTAAATAACGTAATCAATAACAATGAAAATTAAATTAACGAAAACAATCAAAAGACTAACCTTGATCTAAGTCCACATNAAAGTAATACCTTAACTTCTAAAACTAATGTAGTAGTGGAAGTAAGAATCAATCTCACGAAGAGTACGTAATTCATTTTTTTATACTTCGTACAATGATTGAGGGGGTTTTTATATGCAAGCAATTGTAAATAACGTAATCAATAACAATGAAAATTAAATTAACGAAAATAATCAAAAGACTAACCTTGATCTAAGTCCACATCCACCGTCGAAATTCCACGATTGATCATAGATGCAGTGATAATTCAATTCATATTTTGAATATTCATCGTTGGAATTGATTCCTACTTCTCCTTAATCTTAATTAGTTAGAAATCAGCGTTCTAATTAACCGTAATTATTAAATAACCCCAGATCAGCGCTTAAAATTCAATTTAATAACAGCCTTACACAATAGAGAAATCGATGAACTAGATAACACAAACACCAGCGGTTGCATAAAATCTATTTAAATATTCTTCATAAGATTAAATAATCTCTATTGTAGAAAATCATTAAATTCTAGTGCTTTACAAGTTAAAGGGAACACAC